CACGACAAACAGCAACCAGCAGATCATCTCCCTAAACGCCCTTGCCCGGGCACACTACCGGAGATCCATCGGCACGCGCGGTGGCGCCCAAGCCAGCACAGCCGACTAAGGCACGCAGCAGGCAATGGGCGACGCAGCGCTCAGACCAGCACAACATTTAGAACAGTCAGACGCCAGCTTGAATCCCTATCATAAATTTATGATAGGGATTCATAAATATATGTATCTGGTACTCCAGCGCTTTGTTTTCGGCTTCCTCATCATCCACCACTTCTACCAGCTCCACACTTCGGCGTAGCGCGTAGGAGCCTGCGTCGGAGCGCTAAGATCAGCCTGACTTGAACTGAAACGTACCGCCAGCCCGAACACCCCTACATTAATGTATCTGGTAGTCATACAGGGGATCGCGGGCAATAAGAACAGCGAATTTGAAGCCGAGGCTCAGTTTCTGATCAGTTACTGAGCAAAATACGTACAAGCAATGGTTAGTTTTGCTTAAATTACGATTGAAGGGCACAAAAAACGAGGTTCAGTTTCTTAACGTTACGGTTTCTTATTACCCGCGACCCCTGCAGCAGAGTATTCTAAGTTACTCTAAGTTTAAATACCTGTCAAATATAATTTCGAATATCTCATGTTACACTGAGCCCCCACCGTATGATTCTTGCCCCTCGCGGACAAGAATCACCGTGAGATGATACAGGCTGCCGGCGGTTTTTATTGTCTGTTTTATTTTGTGCTACAGGTGCGGCATGTGCGCAGGCGAGCTACATTTAGAGACAAGCGAGACGTAGCAAAGGCCGGTCAGCGCGCCAGTTGCAAGACGTCGACTGTCGTGTGTCTGATCAGCCTCAGTGGGACTCCGTACGAGCGCGCAATGCAGATCATAGACCCAGCGGTGGGGCAGTATACGTGTGCTCCGCAAAGGTCCCTTCGTTCGCTTGGTCCGAGTGATTTTTTTCCTCAACGCGAGTCCGGTGTCAGAGACTTGTCAGGGGACGGACGTACTTACTGTATAGAATTAGATATTTACACACCGGTTAGTTAAGGTAATTTTGAAGCGGCTGCTGTTGGCTGGCTGCCTGGCAAGTCAACAGCGGCTGGCTGCCTGGCAAGTCAAGCTGGCAGTCTGAGTGCTGCGAGACGCGCTCGCCAAGTGGGGTAAGTTACACCTTATACAGGGCACCGAAACACGCCGCTCAATTTTGCTGCAGGTGGGGCCGCGCTTTAAATTCCGCCGGTCTGCGCCATGAGCGGGCCATGAACAGACTCGGTCCAGGTCCGCGCAACCCCGAGGCCCCGCGGCAGCCCCGAGCGCTGCGCCGAGACGATTTCGCTGACCAGGAAAGCAGGCCGCCCCCGAGCGGAAAGAAGGTGTCGCCTCGCGCACACAGCCGCAGCATCTCGGCCTATGCCACGTTCGTGCATCCCTTGGGGCGCGTGTGCTTTGCTGAGCAGCCCCTGTCGCGCAGCAACAAACCCGTCGACGGGTATGGGGGACGGACGCAGCGCTTTGTCAGTAAGCCGACGCTGCTCGGTCGCGCGCCAGCGGCAGAGGCGAAGAATTGTTGTGCAGAACGAGAGTGTGGTTCAACATCAGCGTTGGCCAGCGATAGAGGCGGAGAATCGCTGCACAGGACCATGCAACAGCGCGCCCAAAGAGCGAGTAAGCCCGTCGGAACTGCGCTGGCCGTCTGCTCCCGCGGAGGACGACGGTTTGATGGAGCGGCGTGCACGGCGCATCTAGAGCAATCAAGCCCGCAATCGGCTCCCTAGGCCTTCAAGCTAGGCGGAGAAGCGACAAGGAAGGCTGGGAAGCAGAGTACTGACGGACCAAGGCTGGGCGGAAGCATCAAAGAGTACTGCTTGGTGGTACATTTCTTTATGTACTCAAAATATGAGTCGAAGTTTAATCGTTAAGGAACGAACCGGGGCCTTGGTCTAGTGGTATGATTCCCTCTCAGGGTGGGGGAGGTCGGGGGTTCAATTCCCCCAGGCCCCCTATTGCTCTAATTTCTTTTGCTCTTCAGGGGCAACACGGCTGCGCTTTTTCCCCACTTTCATATTTGAGACGTGAAGCCGACAGAATAAACACTACCGACGCGTTCATTTCACTCCCGCGTCGTCTCGCCATGAACCATGTCATGCTTTACGATATATGAATATTTTATTAAATAACGACGCTATCGCCGTCGTCACGGCGCAGGCTGTCCACCGCTGGATGTGGGAAAGAAGGAGTTCGGTGAACATCGGTCGCGCATTTCCGTGTCGTGATTTCATACTTATCCGGCAACCGCAGCTCCTTGTGCTATCGAAATCGGGGCCTTGGTCTAGTGGTATGATTCCCTCTCAGGGTGGGGGAGGTCGGGGGTTCAATTCCCCCAGGCCCCCTTTTGTTCGATCAGCGGGCGCTGGTGCTCGTCCCCTTTTGTTCGATCAGCGGGCGCTCGTGCTCGTGACGTTCCCGTGTTTCCTTATTTTTTCTGCTGCTAATCCTGTCATTGTTAACGTTTTGCTGCTCATCCTGTCATTACTAACCGTCGAAAGTGCACCATTTGGTGTGAGTGCTGGTGCATGAGGGTTTGGGTCGATCGCTCGACCTCAGCCTGACGTCGACCAAGCCAGTGACTGAACAACACATGTTGAACCATGCTGAGCCGTTAACATATATAACAGTCAGACGCCAGCTTGAATCCCTACCATAAATATATATACGCACTCGCTCGTCAAAGAAATCGCGGCGCAGGGAGGCCGCAAGATGTACGCGCTGATGGGCGTGAGTCCGATGGAGGCGGCCGAGCGCATCAAGAAGCAACTCATCGACACGATCGGTACGATCGCGGCACGCGGCCATGCGCAGCTGCTGCTCGCGCGCTTGAGCGCGCTGGCCCCGATCGCTGCCCAGCGTGGGAACACAACAAATAGCAACCAGCAGATCATCTCCCTAAACGCCCTTGCCCGGGCACACTACCGGAGATCCATCGGCACGCGCGGTGGCGCCCAAGCCAGCGCAGCCGACTAAGGCAGG